ACATGCTGATCTCTTCACAGTGGACTAGATCACATTTTACGTATTTGGCAGGGGAACAACTCAACCTCCATATTTAGATTTCCCACCAATGGGGTATACTTGGTTTTTACAGAGAAGTTTGTGTATTCATTGTAAAATATATTATCCCATCCATCCATCCATCCACTCTAAAAGAACTACATTTGAACATGTTGTATTAACATTGTTTCTGTCTGTCTTTTGGTCTAAAAGCATCAAGTTGTAATATTTTGCTGTATTAACAATTAATTATGCTGTATTATTAATTAATTTAACCTATGTCTGTCTGCCTGTGTATCTATCTGTGTCTGTCTATCACTCTATCTCTATAAGTAAAAGCGCCAAGTTTTAACATACTGTATTGCTTTCTCTTTTTTTTGAAAAAGGATAATTTTGCTGACATATGACCTTACATGGCAGGTTCTGGTCTTTAGCATCCACCATTGCTTCTCCTGCTACACCACTGCTGTTTGACTGGTGAGGTAGTCTGGCTCCAGGGAACCAGCTCAATTATATGAAGACAGATGGGCGCTTGGTGCGCAACTCCTGATATGGTTCCTTTTAAGGCTGGGGTTCTCTCACTGATCTGGGATCTTATTCTTAGGTTCACTGTCCCTTCTTTCTTAGGAAGCGTGCTGTAAAATGTGTGATATGTGGTGCAGAATCAATTCATGTCACTCTTGAGATTTGCATTCGCACTGTTCATGAATGCTATAACCAGTTGAATTCCTAAGGCATATCACATAAATTGTCTTTGTACATGTCTTTGCTGTGAGACAGAAAAAAGCTTCCGAGAATGGCTTGTGTCTGCACCAGTAATTATTTTTTATCTGTGAATATCCACCCACACTTTTCATTTCTCCTGCGACATACAAATGCAGATGTCCTTACGCAACAAGAGGCCTGGCAGTAAATTTGACCCTTGTGCTAAAAAGAGCAAGACATCCACCCCACACCAACACTGAATATGATATAGGGCTGAACTACAAGCCATAATCTGTCTTAAAACCAGTGCTAAGCTTGTTTTCCCTATATAATTCTTTTTGCAATCAGTTAATAGAGGAAAATAAATCTTGGTTATGTAAATAAATATATAAGACCATTTAATTGAAGAAAATATGTGAGTGGCACACCTTGTTGTCTATGACGCAAATGTAAAGCAAGCATTACAAAATATGTTATTAATCACAGAGAGAGGCCACTTTAAGTGGTGAGTATTACAGGGCCTGAAGGGAGATTATCAAGGGTTGGGCTCTTCCATTGTATGTGTGGTTTCATGGAGAATTAGTGTTTTGTATAGCATGACCATGACAAGAGGCCTGTGTGTACTGTACTAATTCAACAACGGGCTGTCTACATTTGACTGTAGTGTAACAATATGGAAATAAAAGCACGGATAACCCTGAGACAAGATACTCATTCAAGCAGATCATAACTGCAGCCAATGTGTAAAAATGATGTTGTGTTTACTTAAATGTAAACAACATCATTAATTTCCGTAAAAGTCCCTCAGTCAGCGAGAATCTGTTCTTTTTACATCACAGATAAGCTTACATAACGTGATTCTATAAGTTGTCTCAGACTTCTAGATAAGGACCTGTGGATTGTATCAAACATTAACCGAAGCATGGCCTACAACAGCTGAATGGCCTAGAAACATCAACACTAAAAGACAAACGGTGGCGTTGTAATCTCTCAAATAATACTGTCTGCACCAATAATTATCTACAAAAAAGTACACCACTGTTCACTAGCATTTAATTCATAATTAATCATTTTATTCAGCAAGGATGCATTAAACTGATCAAAAGTGACAGTGAAAACATTTGTAATATTACAAAAACGCTGTTCTTTTGAACTTTCTATTCATTAAATAATTCTAATAAAAAATAATGTATCATTATTTCCATAAAAATATTTAGCAGCACAACTGTTTTCGACACTGATAATAATAATAATATTTCTTGAGCACCAAATCAACATATTAGAATGATTTTTGAAGGATCATGTGACACCGAAGACTGAAGTAATGGAGAAAATTCAGCTTTGCATCACAGGAATAAATTACACTTTAAAATATATTCCAAAAATAGAAAACAGTTATTAAACTGTAACAATACTTCACAATATTACTGTATTTTTTATCAAATAAATAAAATGACTTCTTTTAAAAACTTTACCAAATCTAGACTTTTGAATGGTAGTGTTCTTCTTCTCAAGTTACATACTAAGTGTCATAAAAGTGTGTTTGTAATATTTATCTTTAAAGTAAATGCCACATGTTTGATATTTTGTTGTCTAGTGCAAAGACATTCATACATTTTAAGTGTGGCTTAGGTGTCCAGACATTTTTTTAATTATATGATTCATTAGTTATTTAACTGATAATATTCTAATATTATATCAGTGACAAAAAGTAGTATCAAAATGTCATATGTGTCCAGTGATTAGCATGTCCCACAGACCATAGACTATTTAAAGACAAGGAGGGGGAAAAAACATACAAACAACTTTTGCACCTGCCTCACACTGACTGCTTGTTTTTCAGCTCTGCAGTCGTGAAATATGGTTCTGACCTCCAGTTAACTCGGACACAGCAGATGAATGAGGAAGTTGTTCTTTATCAGAAGTGAACTGATGAACAGCTTGTAGTGTTATGTAATACTTACCAGTCTGTGTTTCTATTCTTCACAAAGCCTCACGCCTCACCCGAGCGCTAATGAAGTATGGATAATATGTACTCATGATCACCATGTCAAACCTTGCTTAGTCACATTGAGATGTCAGTCTTGTGACATTCTCCAGGATTTGTGTCATACTAGTGAGGGATCTGTGTTCTTTTATAGGCCTTCTGCCTTCAAAAATGGCCTTATTTATAGTTTCTCTTGATTTTCTTAATTATAAACGGCTTGTTTGGACAATAAATCCACTAAAGTGCCTGATGTGGTATGATGCATTCTATACTGTAAACTAGTTTTGATACATGACATTTTATGGTGCCCTTTGTGTTTATTCTTTTGATGATAGTTAGTCATTGTTAGAACCTATCATGAAAAGCTCAATAAGACCGGAATGTGGGTTGTAAAATTCAGTATGACCTGAATCTGTTGGGTCGATGAGCTCTAGACTCATTTTAACGCAGTCCTAAACTTATTTGCTGCCCAATGTTATGGCCCAGACAACTTTTGCCTACTGCAGTACCTAGTCAGCGAATATGTGTGCGGTGTAATCAAATAATACAAATAAATCCACGTCCACTACTCTCAGGTGTTTAAAGATTCAAGGGCGGCAGAATTGCTTTACAAACAAAAAGATTAGTTGTGTATCCTTAATAAACATTTTCGGGATTTAGATGCACCTTTTTTGGGTGTGAAACTGGGAACAGCCTTTCTGATTGTTGGCAAAAAGAGATGTTTTACTTAAAGGTATTTGTCTACGTGCATTAGGTCAGATGGATACTCCCAGAAGAGGTGCTATTACAGTTGCACATCCACCCAGCAGGGCCTTCAGTAATGACGAGGTGAATATCAAGGATTTCCTTGGTTTGACTCCATTTGAATGTTCTGCGACCCTTCTAAATCACTTCAGGCCTGGATTGTCACCAACAATGCTCTCCTACCTCAAGGCAAACTATTTTTAGGCCAATGACGCAGGTGTCTCGTATCACCACCTGCTCAGAACACCGATGAGGGCTCCCTCTTTCCGTGCTGCTTGGCAACGGGGGATGCTGTTGCCAGGGGAACTGAAATTGGTTGACATCACACACTGTCAGAACCTCCCCTATTGAAATGGTATTTAGTTCAGCTCTCTGATCACATACACACTGATCTATCATGACTAACCCCCCGCTGCTGTTGCCCCCAAGACTGATCAACAGCTTGCGAGCTATGAGTCATCCACAAATGCCACGCAGCAGAGAATCATTCTTTTCATCCTCTGTGTAACCAAAATAAATCCAATCAGAACAGATGTTTGGATGTTTTCTTAAGCAGTCCACACAAACACACTGTTAACATTATACAGTTGAGAATTAAGACATATTTAACCATGTATCCTTCATTTCCCAATAGATACGAGACTTCATATTTAGGACAGTCCCGGTGGTAATAAGCTATTTCTTGGTAGTCTCACAGTATTTGCAGTTTTAACATCAATACTGTGGGAGTAGATGGTTCTGATTTGGTTCCCTATAAACATCCCTATTTTCAGATTTATAGGGTTTATGGTTTTCTCTCTTTTTTTCTTTCTCATTTGGGACCAGTGAAGAAAAAGCGTGTTGGATGGGCTTAGTTATTTTAGTTTTTCAGCTGCCACTGCAACACCTCACATTTATTTGTGGAAAAGCTCATTCAAATCTGGGTTCATATAATATAAAATAATTAATAAAAATATAAATGTGTACATATAAAAAGAAAGAAAAAATATAAATAACATATACAGTATATATATATATATATATATATATATTACTAGTATTATATTACTAGTAAATAATCCAAAAGTGAGTAGTATTTTGTATCTTGAGTATTACAGATATATAGTATTTTGTATATTGTGTGTGTGTGTGTGTGTGTGTGTGTGTACACACATGTAAGATACAAAATACTGTTTGCATATATACATACATACATACATGCATGTAGGCTATGTATTGGCATGTATGTGAAATATAAGACCATAAGTTTAAAAAAAATAAAATTAACAGATACAGAGATCTTCATAATAAAAAAGTGTGTTTATGCTTATGTTGTTGTTTTGTTTATGGGTCCTCTTCAAAAGTGAGACATTGACAATTACAATGTCTTTTAGTGCTGCTTTGATAACAGGTCACAAGCAGGGTGGGTGTGTTACAGCTGCACGCCTCCGCCAATCCAATTAAAGAGTGCTGTGAAATTATTCATGAGCAGATATTTGACCAATAAGACGCGCGTATGCAAATCTCTTGCCTATAAAGACCATTCAGATGGTGCGTATCTAGCATTACTGTAACGCTTAACGCTTCTGTTGGTCGTGTGTGGATTGGGAATAGTGAATCACGAGCGCAGCTGGATGACCCCACAAACCGTGTCGATCTATAAGCTATATAGCTGATATCGAGTGCAACTGTGAAATAACTGAGCTTTTTACAAACGACTTTGCGTAGGAACTTCATCTGTTTGGAAAGGCAGCGTTATCTGTGCGGGAGTAGACCAGAAGTTTTTGCCATTTTAAGCTGGTTGTTCTTTCCATCGCCATGTCCTCCGGTGATGTGTCAGAGCAGTGTCGGCGGTTTTGCGTGTTATCTTGGGAGCAGGTGCAACGTTTGGACTCTATTCTTGGCGAGACGGTTCCAGTTCACGGACGTGGAAACTTCCCGACGCTTTCGGTTCAGCCGCGACAAATTGTTCAGGTTATTATGAAAGCACATATCTGAATACACTTTCTGCACTACAGCATTTCATTATAAACTTTCCTTTTATGGGTCCGTATAATATTTGACCTTTATTTCCTTTATTTCATAATATGGCTAGATTTGAAAATGCATTCCTCGATACTATCATATTATGTTACTTTTACTTCTTTTTTTTAATTACTAGTAAATAATTCAAGCAGCATTTCTTATCTCCATTTCACTAGTTATTTTTCAATAGTGCTTAATATTCCAGTAGTGAATATCTATTCAATTAGTTACTAGGACCCTTGCTTCACTATACTATGTAACAAGTCAATGTCAGCTATTCGCTTCAGGCTATGTATTCAGGTCGTAACCGGTACTTAATCCATTTTTTTTCCTACTAACTATTGATTTGCCGGGAGTATTTATTCCTTAGTTTTTTGTAACTATTAAAATAGTAGCTAGTATCTATTACAGTTGTGCCAGTACTAAATTAATATACATAGGCCTACCCATTTATCAAACACTATTGTGTATTTCAGTGTACTGGTACTAGTATTTCAGTTTACTGTGTACTTGTAATATTTAAATTTGAATTGTAAAGTAAAAAGCAATTATAACTAGTAATAATCGTAACTGATATTAGTGTTTCACGCATAGTACAGCTGGAATAGATACTAATACCTATGGGGACTATAGGAACTAGAACCTAATGAAGAGTTAGAGAAAAACCTGAAATGCATACTAGTCAGAAGTGAATATTTAATACCAGAATCACAGTTGCTTATCAAATTCAACTGCAAAAATGTGCAGTGGAATAGATATTAGTCACTATTGCCATAGTTAGCAAAGGGATACATATTAGTATCTAATGAAAAAGCATTAGTTAAATTGTAAAAGATGCTGCAAGTGAAAAAAGTTCTAATGAGATAAAAAGTCTTTGGTAAGGCAAAAATAGATACTAGTTAATTATAAGGAATAACTGTCACTGCACAATCAGCTATTGGTGTAATGTCTCAACCCCCCAAGGATAAGCAAAACATTCTTAGCCTTTGGCCCTCCAGCAGATACAGAAAACTGTGCACTTGGCAAATTTAAGAGAGTTGTTAATGACTTGGATGTTCTCACGATAACTGCACTGAGTGTAACTCATTACTGACCCTAATCCCATGCAACGTAACACTGCTTGAGCTAGTCCAGTGATAACCTCCATCAATGCCCCCCTTCTCAATTAAAATAATTATTGTTCTTATACACAAGCAGTGTGGGCTTGCATCTACACATGCAAGCAGATATTGATATTTTCTCCAGATCACTTCCTTTAGTAGGGCTTCTCCCAACGAGAGGGTTTGTTTCAAGTGTTTTAGGTAGAATGCTCTTGCAGTTGGACAGAAAATGTGTTCAAGATTTAGCATTTTATGTACATATGTATATGATCCCATATGGCAGCAGTTTGAGGGAATTTGTCCGTCAATCATGTCTACATCTGATATCTTTTATTTCAGTGTTCTCATATACTGTGAGTGATTTATACAGTGACATGCCTTAGATCCTAAAAATTGGCCTAAGATTGGCCCCTATTGGTTCTAATTATATGGAGATAGAAAGTATGAACTGTGGAATCTGACAGTTTCCCTTCCTTTGATCCAGTTCTGCTATACATGGAGTGGACAGTAATGAGTGGTCAGTCTCTGTTTCATAATACAACATCTGCCTGGGTTTGAACAGATAGTAATGCCCTGTCAATAAAACCCAACTAAGAAGCCCATTATATTTAATGGAAAACCTGTAAAAAAACAACTTTGATGTTTTATTACACAGCCTCCACATGACATTGCAAAATTGACAAAAGATGGCCGCTCGTTTTCCTTAACCTAAATGATTTACCACGGCACCATCTCATTACATGGACTTTGTGGCTGTTTTCATTATCATTATAACAGTGTTATGATTGCACATTTGCACCTTGTGCTGTGATGTACAGTTAAACCATAAAATGTAGGTTTTGAATGCAACTGCGTATACCTGACTTGGCATCATCTTAATATAATATTCACATGTGTTGCAAGGCGATCCGGTTTAACCCTCAAGGCTTTGGTGGAAACTGAAGAACCTTTGAGTTTGTTTGTCATTGGCAGTATTTTTTGAAACACCATTGATTGATGTTAATACAGACAATAGTCTATTATTAAATAAAGTAAATACACTTTTTGTTTAAATAAATCACACCCTTTATGCTTTAATAAATTGCACTCGGCCAAATTGCAATTTCACCTTGATTCATATGCTGCAAACCTGTAAAACTGTATAACGTGTTCTCAGCATGTGTACAGACACACGTCGTGCATAGTTCCACTGCGTTCACTTGGTCAATTGCTGCAGTCAGACCTAATGTGTAAAAATAGAAGGCTAATGATTTGATTGACAGGAGTGAGGCTAGGTGATCTGATTGACACTAATCTGACAGAGCTGTGGAAAATGAAGGTTACGTGCATTCAGGACGGAGATAATGAGTTTGATTCAAGCACATTTTAATATCTGAATGGTCGTAAAACAATATAAATGGCATACAAAACTGCTTGGCATGCATAAAATGTGGACTGTGCCAAATTCCATATTTTTGTCTTTATTGAATTAGGCATTTATGAATGTGTTCCTGATTTACCATTTGAGATTTATGAGACCTTCATGTGAATGTGAAATCTTGCAACTGCCTCTATCTATATTCATAAGAGAACAGTTTTGAATAAGTCTCGGCCTTCTAGAATGTTGTGCAGCTGTACAGTGCTGCATGTTCCCAAGTGAGTCTCTGTGAATGTATCACTGTCGATGCACAGATGTGTCAATCTCTACAGTGCACATTCCTTATAAATAGATTAATACTTAACTTTTTTTTTTATTTGAAGTGCATACAAAATGACTTCCAATTTGCAAATAAAGGCATTCAGCACAGAAGATTAACAATATATAAAAAAAAGACCAATTACAGTAAATGATGTTAAATGTGTGTATGTGGCATGTTCAAATTCTCTCAGGTGTGGTTTAGTTGGAGACATTATTCTACCTCGCAACAGCTAGAATCACAGCAACAAAGAGAGAAAATGTTAAAATGGCTAATAACTGCGGTGAATTTGTGTTGTTGATCACTGACTATAAACCAACTGTGATTCTCAGGTGTTCACAGTATGAGGGCAATAGATTAATACTTAACTTTTTTTTTTATTTGAAGTGCATACAAAATGACTTCCAATTTGCAAATAAAGGCATTCAGCACAGAAGATTAACAGTATATATAAAAAAAGACCAATTACAGTAAATGATGTTAAATGTGTGTATGTGGCATGTTCAAATTCTCTCAGGTGTGGTTTAGTTGGAGACATTATTCTACCTCGCAACAGCTAGAATGACAGCAACAAAGAGAGAAAATGTTAAAATGGCTAATAACTGCGGTGAATTTGTGTTGTTGATCACTGACTATAAACCAACTGTGATTCTCAGGTGTTCACAGTATGAGGAGAATAAATGCAAGAAATCTGTGATTTTTAGCAGTTGAGTCAACAACACTGATGCCTAGCTTAATAAAATGATATGTCTTATTAGGCTTTTTAGATAATAAGGTCATTATCTAATTGCAGTGGTGGCAGAACAAAGTATCCTCAAATTGTCCAGATAAGGTAGTGTTTAGTGTGGTATTATGTTTGCCATTGTTCACTTGTTCAAGCAGTGGTTGTATGTTACTGATTAGGGATACACCCATATTTAAATTGATTAATTAAGTAAAAAAATTATATTAATTTTATGGCGGATAACTGCTAACTGGTTTTGTCTAAATAAATGAAAATCAAAGCACTAAAAAAAAAAATTTGATCATTTATTAATTTATTGCTCATTTATTTTTTTTATTAATAAATGTGATTTTTATAAATTTTCTAAAAAGAATGTAACTGTTTTATTAAATATTAGTGTTTTACAAATTCACTTTAAGTGAGAGTTAGATGAACACCAGTGTCATCTAAATGTAAAAATATATCCAATACTGACCAATAAAATAAAAAAGAAAAAACCCTCTAATCTCTGATCTTAAACTATTTCTGCAGGTGGTTCGAGCACGTTTGGAGGAGCGAGGAATCACTGTTCGAGATGTGAGGCTGAACGGCTCGGCTGCCAGTCACGTTCTGCACCAGGACACGGGGCTCGGGTACAAGGACTTGGACCTGATTTTTGGCGTTTCTCTGTCAGATGACCAGGCCTTCCGCGTGGTTAAGGATGTGGTTCTCGACAGCCTGCTGGACTTCCTACCCGAGGGTGTCAGCAAGGAGAGAATCTCAGCACTTACTCTGAAGGAGGCTTATGTACAGAAGTTGGTGAAGGTTTGCAACGACAACGACCGCTGGAGCCTCATCTCACTCTCCAACAACACCGGCAAGAATGTTGAGCTTAAGTTTGTGGACTCTCTCAGGCGCCAGTTTGAGTTCAGCGTGGACTCCTTCCAGATAGCCTTGGACTCCCTTCTTCTGTTTGACCGCTGTTCAGAGACTCCCATGTCGGAGTGCTTTCACCCGACGGTGTTGGGACTGTGGTTTCAATCAAACTCTGTTTTGCTTCTTGTTTTTTTTAAGGACCAAAGATATTTTATTTTCGTTGTTAAAAAAGATAGGAATGTTTGCTGTTGTAATTCCAAGTGCCTAAAAACATTGTACAACAAAAGTGAGACCTGTGCTTTCTAAAACCATTTTTCTGTCTCCATGTTAATTGTAAAACTCTATTTTCAGGGATGGAGGCATGTATTTCCATGTGATTAAAAAAAGCACAAAACCTATCTTCTTGTGTTCTAGACCTCTTTTACCTTTTGAAGCGGATGTGGTCATATTCTGACAACTTAATTTGTTAATATTCAAGCGAGTTGGTATTTTGGCAAATAATTTCAAATGGTAAGGATTTTTTATATCAACGGAGCATTTATCATGAGACAGAAGAGGTGAAAGTGGTCAATGGTGAAACTGCAAGTGTAGCAGTGTTGTGGTCTGAATGTGTGCTGACTCTTAATCTGAGGAAATGGATCCATTGCAGTTCCAGGACATGAACCATAAGGATCCTTTCTAAAGCACAATGGCCCCTCTTTTAGTGTGACACTAAAGGTAACAGACAAAGGCTGTTTTGTTAACCCACCCATGCTTCCCCTGGAGATAGAATCCTATTTCCTTTCATAATGCCATATCCATGTCATTGTTTTTGTAAACGTCAAGGAGCTGGTATTGTGATGTAAGCTAACAGATCTAGGGATGTGATGTTAAAAATGATTACTACTGATTAGTAGACTAATATAGGCTGTAATTTAAAATTTTGTTTAATTGGTTTCTGCATATAAGTTCAAATAGTTTAAATAGACATAAATATTTCATTTTAATGTTGTCACTGCAACTGGTTCGTTCTTTCGGTTCAGGTTCATTCAATTTAAAGAGCACAACATCACTTTTCTTACGATGGTAGCATAGTTATTTGACTGGTTTCTGTAAGAGGTAATCCATGAATTCTCCTTTCACCATTTGTACTCTTGTGCCATTGCCTTTTGGGAATCAATCAATAAAGTATCTATTTAGAAATTCTCTTCCGCACAAACTTTAGGAGTGTATGAGAATATGGATTTTTTTTTCACTTTTATTAAGTTTTTATTTAATACGTTTTTGCAATTTTGAGTAAAAAAAAAAGCATCCTTAAAAATAATATTGCCTGTTTTCTGACAATATGTCTTTTTATGAATTAAATAAATTCAAAAATTGAATAAATGAATTAATAAATAAATATATAGTATTTTACGACTAGCATTATTATTTAAAATGTAATATTATGACCAATAGTTTTATTTATTTATCTTTTTTTTTGAGAGAGAGAGATTTACTTGCCAATTATGGAATAAAAAAAACGTAATGCTGTTTTGATGTTTTAAGAACATTTCGTTTAAGAAATATATATATATATATATATATATAATGGCAGAATTTACATTTAAGTGAACTACCCCTTTAAGTGAAGGTGATATTTCATTGCCGTGTCAGAGAGAGACATAGGTCAAGTTTCCTTTTGATTTTTGGCCCTCGCTATTCAAAAGGCATCAGGGGAGCAACTACTGTCGTAAAGCTGAAGTAGAACAACTGGGGAATAATACTCCACTTATTCCCTCATGTTAGGCCTCATATAAGAGAGGATATAAATAAACCCGCCTAGTTAAAAGACTAAGGAACCCTAAAGAAAAACACAGCCGTTGGTAAACCATGTGTAATGTCCCAGCCTGTGCAAACAGTGTCATTGGCAAAACCTACCCCCTCAGACAGTGGCTTAAAAAATTAGGATGAGGTAGTGCTGTTTAATTCAGTGGGACTTGAACCACAGACATGCAGGAATATATAAGGACATGCTCGAACATGTTGAGACATGTTTTGGACAAGAAGCTACAAGCTGTGACATTTATTTAGCCTATGATGTAATTTATATCCAGCTATTTTCTATTATCTACACCTGTTATCTGTAACTGTAACAGGTTTACCCTTTTTATGTTGACCTCCATGTGTAACTGCAGATGAAACCAATAAGTTAAAGTATAGAAAAAGTTTTTGAAAAAGTATAAAATCTCATAAAAAACAGAATCATGTTCACAAAAGTACATAAGACATTAAACCAGAAACTTAATACACAAGTTACTTAATACAGAAGCCTTCAAAATGAGGACAACACCTCATCTATGAGTCCTCTCATGGCAATATCATTTCATGGCACAAAATGGCAATATAATATGTCACATATGATGTTATTCTGAACAACTTTGGCTACAGTGATACACTGACCCCAAAAAAGTTGGACACCAAGACCACATTTAAAATGAAAGAACAAACACTCTTTTCAGACATTTAATAAAAATAAGCTTGTTTGGATTTAAATGATAAAACAATAGATATATTGGTAAGATCAAATGTATTAGAAATAGTTGTGAAACAAAGTGAATATGATGAATTACATATTAGTTTGGGTTCAGTAAGAATAAAAAAAAAATTAATAAAATTGTATTTAGGGAGGATGCATTATCAAAAGTAACATTAAAGACTTTTTAGTGTTACTAAAAATTCTTTCAAATTAAGTATTCTTTTGAACAATCCTTAAAAGAATGCATCACAGTGTATACAAAAAAATAATCAGCACAGCTGTTTTCAACACTGATAATAATAAAAGAAAATGTTTCTTAAGCACCAAAGCAGCATATTAGAATGATTTCTGAAAGATCATGTGACACTGAAGACTGGAGTAATGATGCTGAAAATTCAGCTTTGACATTACAGGAATAAATTAAATTGATTAAAAATATGTTAAAATAGAAAAGAGTATTTTAAATTGTAATAATAATTCACAATATTACTGTTTTCACTGTGTTTTTACTGCCCCAGACTTTAATTATAAGTGTTAGCCAACTTCATTCATCCACTAAAAATCACCTTTTGGCTAAAATAAATTGTAAAATTCCACTTGGTTTGATATTTTGTGTCTATGCAACAACATTCAGACATTTTGTCAGACTTAAATGTCCAAATACCTTTTGGGTCAACTGTTTATTCTACACAGCAAAATTAATTAAGTGTGTGTGCCTCTTGTAAAAATGAAAACTTGAATGGAAAACGAATATGATGTTTAATATTTCGGTAGGGCTGTCCTGTGTCCGTGCCAATAACATCCATGTGTGTGAGTCATACCTGTCTGTCTTGTTTCCGCTGGAACAATGACGCTCCTTGTCTTCATCCTTGAATCACTGATGGCAGGTCAACCGGACAGCCGGCGCAACACAGAGCAAGTGCAATATTCACTGCTGTTCATGGCATTCATAAACCTCACAGGATGACCTACGGAAAGAACACAAATTAAGTTTGAAATTTAATGAATGTGTTTATTCTATTTGAGAGAGTCAGACGTACTCATCCTGGATAATATTCTTGATCTTGTGCAGTCCTACTGACATTGATCTCATGCCGAATAGGTCAGTGTTGAGTTAAATCTAACTTACAACTAATGGTTTTAATGATGTGTTAGTAAAAAGATGACTCATTCTCCATTAATGAGCCATTTAAATTATAACGTCTGCAACATTTACAGCAGCATCTGAGATGATGATTCTGATGCTGTGTGACACAAAATAGCTGAATCAATCTCCATTAATGAGGAATTCAAATTACAACCTGTCTAAAACATCTAAAAGCAGTTTCCAATTCATTTTAAATGATCATACACCTTCAGCACCAAACCATAAAAACAAGTTTTCCTTCAAGCACCAATGCTCCATTCAGTATAAATAGAGAATTTTAACATTAAATCTTTGATTGTTGGAAAAACAGAGGTGAAACCATAAATTCGAATGGAAAATGCACGATATGTGCACTGAAGCCTCAGGGGGGGGCAAAGACAAAGTTATCACATGTTTCGTCATTTGAATCAGGGCACAGAAAAGAATGGAAAAGTGAACAGGGCGAGCCTCTTTTCAATAGGAAGAAACCAAATAAGTTCCATTCTTGAAGGAATGCTATAAAGTGGTAACTTGAAGATGTACAGACCACAAAAGGTAGGTCACTCATAATAATGTGTTGAGGCTATTTTTCCTTATGTTTCCACATGTCCCTTAAAGTTAAAAACAAGTTTTCCTTCAAGCACCAATGCTCCATTCAGTATAAATAGAGAATTTTAACATTAAATCTTTGATTGTTGGAAAAACAGGTGAAACCATAAATTCATGAATGGAATGCACGATATGTGCACTGAAGCCTCAGGGTGGGGCAAAGACAAAGTTTCACATGTTTCGTCATTTGAATCAGGGCACAGAAAAGAATGGAAAAGTGAACAGGGCGAGCCTCTTTTCAATAGGAAGAAACCAAATAAGTTCCATTCTTGAAGGAATGCTATAAAGTGGTAACTTGAAGATGTACAGACCACAAAAGGTAGGTCACTCATAATAATGTGTTGAGGCTATTTTTCCTTATGTTTCCACATGTTCCTTAAAGTTACAAAGTATCTCCATTAAAATATGCTTAATAGTCAAAAGACATTACACAAAAAAAAATTCTTACAACATTAATATTTTTTCATACACATTTTAAAATAATTTAACTTGCTAATTACAGTTTTTGTAAAAACATCAAAAAAAAAGTAACATCTTTATAAAAACATCTGAAAAAACATTGGCTAGCATTAAAGGCACAATATGTAAGATTTTTTTATAAAAATATCCAAAAACCACTAGAACAGTGTTATATATTTTGCTCCCAGCTGATAAACGATAAAATCATTGACAATTAAAGGCACAATATGTAATTTTTTGCCAATAGAGGGCGCGTATTCAAAACAAACAAATAATCAAAGGCGTAGTTTGATGACGCCGTGACTGAGTGTGGAATCATGGGAGTTGTCGTCTTCATCCCACAGCTGATGCAATCCGACGGGACTCGGGTAGAAATCATGTTCATGGATGAGCTAATGTTAGGAGGTCATTAGCAGGCGACACAATCACACTATGGAAACGGTCTGTGTCACTAGTTAAAATTGCTTATTTCTCTGGATTTAAACATTCTTCGAAACATTTGGGATAATGTAAGTACACAAGTCAGCAAAATATATAACACTGTTCTAGTGGTTTTTGGATATTTTAATAAAAAAATCTTACATATTGTGCCTTTAATCAGAATCCATTTTATAGAGCTCAAGCTTTTCTTTTTTTCTTTTTTAAACAGAATGTTAGTGTGCGTTAGTGTGGATGCTAATATATTTTACTGTTATAATTTTCTTTATATTGTTCTCGGTGTGAATGCGCCTTTACCATGATTTACACCAGAATGCTTGACAAGCTCAAAGAAAAAAATGTCAAAGATGGTTTACAAAGTGAGAGAAATTTATAATTTTTATACATTAGAAATGTAATTAATTAAATACTGAAAATTTATTTTAAATGATTATTTTTTTAATTAAATAATTTTTTTGTGTCTATTTACACAAAATTTGTGTGTGCTAAAGATGTTTATGCTTATTAGAGTATTCCATTGTTCGTTTTGCAAATGAACTCAATTGTGAGTCAA